GGCCAGCCGGCGGGAGGGGGCAAAGATCGGGGACCCCAGGGCGGGGTTTCACTTGCACACCCGGCCAGCCAGCGTGAAGTGGCTTCCTGTACAGGCCAGAGGGCGGAGGGCAGCCCTGAGCAACGGGTGAGAAGCCTCAGGGACAGGGCCAGGGCCAGGGCCAGCCTGCAGCCCCTCGGTAGGGAGGTCGGTGAAGGGCCGAGCCACCGCTTCCTGGCCAGGGGACCCCATGGGACACTTGGCACTAGCAGGAGAGACTGGGTGCCTGGCTGGGGTGAGCGGATGGAGCCACAGGATCAGAACCCGTCCCCTCACTGGTACAGGCTAAGGGAGGTAGGCAGTCAGAGGCGGGCTACAGCGGCCTGGCCCAGAGAAAGGGAGAAAAGGAATGTGCCCTGGCGGCCCAACCAGTCACACAGCCCCAAGCTGTGGACAGGCGGCACAAGCCAATGGCACCACCCAGCTCTGCACAGAACTTAAATGTTCTCCAGTGTCTGCTCCCCACCCAACAGGCCCAGCCCTTTGGGCTCAGCTGCCCACTGTGGCCAGGATGCCGGGCTCTGTCGTAGGACACCACCCGGGCTGTCCAGAGCCACAACACTACACGCAGTGGTCACACCGCAGGGATGGTCTCATTTCCAGACGGATGACTGAGGGAGCACCTGGTCCATCGGGCGATCTGCCGGAGCTGCAGGCTGCTCATGGTGAGGAGGGCGCACCTCAAATCCTAGGCCTGGCTCCTGGCGCAGCTTTGCCTGAGGCTCCAAGGTTGTGCATCCACCTGTCAGCCAGGTACCACATCTCCGGCCAGGCTTCCTTCTCCCAACCTCCTGCATGTACACAAGTGCACGCCACTGTCCTAACTCCCGGGCCTCAGAGAGCAGCCTAAAGAACACTGTTCCCCAGGCACTCCAGGCGCTCCCTTCCTTCCTGTGCCTGGGGCCCACCTGGTCACTTCCACCCTGGCCCCTCCCACCGTTGTCTGCTTTTTGAGCCCCTGCGCAGCTGTCCCCTCCCTCCTCGGGTGGCAAAGGGACCCCTGCCTGAGGGGAGGATCCGAGCTGTGGACGCCCCTCCGCAGTGTTCAGAGACCGAAGAGGGCCCCTCTTCGGGCACTGCACAGCAGGACCTGCCTGGCCCCAGCAGAGCTTGGGCAGCCTTTCACCAAGGCCATAGTACTCTTGAGTGTGGCCGCAGGGGGACTGGATTTGGTCTGAGGTGCAGGGCCACAGCTCCCAGCTTGAGACAGGCACCCCAAGAGTAAGCCAGGGAGTGGCCTCAGCACAGGCACGTTAGTCAACTTGACACTCAGGACCCAAGTGTAGAAATGACCAGGATGTGACTGCAGTTGCCAGCCTTGGATCTGGCCCCCACATGGGCCGGGCCCTTCCCACAACCTAACCTTGGTTTTGAGTTCAAGTCCTAGCAGTATCAGGGTGAAGGTGGCTTTTTGAGACAGGGTCTCACTATGTAGTTGAGACTCACCTGGAACTCACTATGTAGCCCAGGCTTGTCTTGAACTCACAGCGATCCTCCTGCCTCAGCCTCCTGAGTGCTGGGATTACAGGTATGCGACATGACATCTGGCTCATGAATGCGGCTTCTGTCTGGTCAGCTTCCCTCTGAAGCTCTCAGTGCCTCCCTGACACCCAGAGCAGGGGAAGGGCAGACCGACACGAAATGTGCCCTCACTCAGGTGCTTCCTCATCCCTCCCGTTAAGCTTGAACTCCTGACAAACGGAGGGCCACAGATCTAGTCATCCAGACCCGCAACTGACACGGAGCACTTTCTTCCCTCAGGACACTGGACTCAGGGCCACTCTGGCCCAAGCTGAATGGTGTGGCAATAGGCACTGCCTGCTGGATGGAGGCAAACCCCCAAGTGCCGTTTTCTTTCTTGTGTCCAAACCAGTCACCACAAGTGCATGTCATTAGACCCAAGGAGGCACGGTGTAAGCAGATGTGTGGCAGTAGGAAGCTGGGCACACCAGACCCGATGCTCCTGTGGCAAGGAACCAGGACAGGGCGGGGCAGCCCAGCGGAGGAAGCAGAACCCATGGTCTGCTGCAATCAGACGACCACTGAGGTCTCAATGCCTGACACCCATCCTTGGAACCCCACAGAAACAGTCGTGTAACAAGCAAAAGGTCCAGAGGTCGATTCGTTGTTCCAAAGAGCAAGGGATGCGGCAGCTGCTGGATGCAGGGGTCCTGCCCAGGTCTGTAGGCAGCAGCGGCAGACACACCTGGGGCCCAACAGCTGGGCAGGGGCAGAGACCAGGGGACTTCTTAGATTCTACTTTATTTGGTAAAATTCTGAAACTAACAACCAATTCACAGCCCACCTCCTCTCTGAAGGAAGCTTCCCACCCAGCTGGGGCTGCAGCCGGGGTGCCCACCTCTCAGGCAGGCCCCACCGCATCAGCCCTAGGAGGCCAGGCAAGAAAGCCAAGGGCAGCTCTCTGCCCAGGACGAGAAGCTCCTCTGCCCCATCCTCACAGCCGCAGCCTCCCCGCACCCACCACCCACGTCAGAAGAGTAGAGGACGAAGCTTGAGGGCGCCACTGGGACACGTGAATGCGCGCGCGCGCGCACACACACACACACACACACACACACGCACACGCACGCAGCTTCCTGTTGGCAGAAGAACTGCAAAGGCCCTGCCCGAGGAGGGTGGCTGGCAGCACCAGCGACGCTGGGCCCAGGCGATAGAGGGACTCGCGTACGGCTGGTAAAACTCCAGGGAGACCTTGAGCAGCGGCCCCTCCATCAAAGGCCCTGCCCGAGGAGGGTGGCTGGCAGCACCAGCGACGCTGGGCCCAGGCGATAGAGGGACTCGCGTACGGCTGGTAAAACTCCAGGGAGACCTTGAGCAGCGGCCCCTCCATCTCCAGAACTGCTTAGTTCATGAGCCTGGCTGCCACTCTGCGCTGTGGCCATGGGCAGCTGGCCAGGGCCTAGGACTCCATGAGGGGAAGGCAGGCAGAGGGCGGAGCCTGCTGGGAGGCCAGAGGGCCTGCTGGGCTAATGGATCCGGGTCAGCTCCTCCACCACCTTGATCAGGTCGTCCGCAGTGGCCTCGCGCTTCATCCCGCTGCCATCATCATACTGCAAGGCAACCAGGGGGGCTGGGAGCTGGAGGCCGGGCGGGCGCAGCCAGAGGATCCCCTGGGACACAGTCATCGAGGCCCATGGGGCAAAGCTGGCCCCAGAGAGTGACACCCTGGCCCTCCAGACACCGGGTGAGTTGAGCTTCCCTCGGTGCTGGAGCAGAGGCTGTGACGGCAGACAGGGTGGGTGGGTCACTCACCATCCCACCAAGGGGACCTCCGGGTCCTGCGGGGCCACCTGGCCCAGCTCACCTGCAGGTTGGCCACCACCTCCTGCATCTTGGGGCGGCTGATGTCCAGGAAACTCTCAATGAGGTCGCCGTCGATGAAGCCCGTGGCCTGCTCCGTCTTGCGCTCGGTGTGGAAGGACCTCCAGGTAGACACCGGTTAAGGAGCATGTGTGTCTGGGTATGCCTGGCCATCCAACCACGGCCCAGAGACCACTGGGCCAGGGCAGCACAGATTTGCTGCAACTCACACTACTTTCTGGACACTTTCGGAGCTGAAGGGGAAATGGAAACATCACTTCCTCACCCAGTGGTTCAACTTCGGTGAGCCTCAAGACAATCAGAACTACAGGCCCTCTGAGCCGACGGCTGTTTTGCTGCTGGGGGTGCACAGGATCATAACCAGGGCCTTCACACTGAGCCACATCCCAAGAGCTTTTTATTTCCTGAGACATGGTCTCACTAAGTCACCACACTACCCAAGCTGCGCTCAAACTTGCCATCCTACTGCCTCAGCCTTCAAGAGCACCGGATCAGCAGGCCTGCGCCCCTGTGCTTGGCTTGGATGGCCTGGAGTGCACTGGGCGAATCTGAAGCGCATGCCCAGAAAGAGGCACTCGTCCGGGTCCAGTCCAGTCACCCTGGATGAGCATCTGAGGTTCTGAAGACAAGGGCACCCCAGGCCTGCTCCTCAGGGGCCTGGCTGTCCCCATGCCCACCTGAGGGCTGCTGTCTGCCAACGGTCCCTGGGCCCACGTGCCCCATAGGCTGGCCCTGTGCTGCCCTTCTAGGACCAGGCATGCTGTGCCTGGGAGCCCCAGGTCCCTGGTCCATCTGCCACGCGGCCAGGAGGGCCTGGGCGAACTACAGGCTCACGAGGCCCAGCTGCGGTGGAGGCAGGCGTGTGGCTGGGCACTTCCCACACACAAGTCCAAGGACAGAAACAGGGATGAGGAAAAGCCCGGAGTGCGGTGCTCACGGCCTGGTGGGCGGCTCTGGAAGGATATAAGGAGTGCTCGATCTTGCCCACACTTTTGATGACTTTATTGAGGCGATTCTGCATATCCAAAAGGAGGTTATACCAGCTTTCTGACAGTGAGGTCACCAGCCCTGCAGAGGAAGGGGACACGAGTGCTGCCTGAGCTCCCCTCACCTGCTCCCTAGTCCCATGGGGCGGCCCCGAAGCTGCACGCTCACCAATCATGCCGTTGACTGTGCCAAAGAGCACGGAGCCCTGTGTGGGGGTGGAGGTCTCGCCGAGGTTCTGCATGACCAGGGAGCCGTGGCAGAAGACGTTGACGAACTCACCCAGGTGGAAGAGCCCCACCTCCTGCAGATGCTGCCGCTCCTCATCGGTGGTGGCAGCACTGAAAGGCAGCGTGAGAAGTTGACACCAGACTCCTGTGCAGCAGCCATGGCCCACCTGGGTTGCCCTGGGGCCTCTGAGTCCCTAGGAAGCTCAACACCCTAGGAACAGCCAACACCTCAGACCTCAGACCGGGGCTACTCACCTGTCCTTCTGACACACAAACAGGTTAAAGGCGTTTTCAGCCCCCAGGAAGTTGTCATCATCTAAGATTTCCACCGCACTCATCCAGTTGGGGTTAAAGTCTCGGGCGATCTTAAAACAAAGTGCAGTAAGAACATGCATCAGCAGCTGCATGTCGGCTCCGGGCCTGTGGGTCCTCCTGGGCTTCACAGTGGCCACCCGACAGTCTCCACCTTGAGCCAAGCGAGCCCTGCCCGCGCAGGGGACACGGAATGCGCACCCCATCCATCACTCTACCACCAGAGCCTCTCAGGCCAGGGCTCAGCGAGGGCTCTACGTGCCAGGCTACCTCCTCGAAGTTGCCCTCCATGGGCTTGTAGGCCAGCAGCAGCACGGAGCGCATGAGGTCGCCCACCAGAATGAAGTCACCCTTGGTCTTCAGGTAGAGCGCCATGATGTTGTTGTAGTGGTTACATTCGGTGCGCAGCTCCTTCTCCGCGGTCCACTCATAGAGCCGCACCTGGGGAGGCACGGGGCTCAGAGGGCACGACTGCGCCCGGCTCCCACCGCACAGGGCCGTCTGTGGGGTGGTCCTGGTGGACGGGGCCGCTTTTACTTCAGCATTCAGATGAGAAAGCAGCCAGCTGGGACACAAAGCTCCTGTTTACATAAATGATGCAGACGCACACAGGGGCAGTGACAGGAGCGAGCGAGTGCAGGACAAGATGGGGCAGGAGCCACTTCCAGTGCTCTGATCAGAAAGTACAAAGTCCACCTCCCAACAAGCCGCCTTCTCTGAACCCCTCTCAAAACTACATTCCTGGCCGGACATGGTGGCGCACGCCTGTAATCCCAGCACTCGGGCAGGAGAATCACTAGAGTTCAAGGCCAGCCTGGGCTACGGAGCCTGAACTGCGTAGTGAGATCCTGTCTCAAAAAACAGAACTCTCTGCTCCTGGAACATTTTAATGTTCAACAAAGGAGTGGAGAAAACAGAATGGAACAGTCCAACAGAAGGCTGCTAATGACTAAAAGAATCCAAAGAACTGGTCAGAGGTTGGCCCCTGCCGCTCCACTGTGGGTGAGGAACTGCTGTCCCCTTGTGCACTACCGTGTCTCCTTCCATAATGACACGATGTCTCCCCAAGAAGGCAGCTGTTCTGTGACCAGCGAGGACAGGCAGGACACCCAGGGCAAGGGGACAGCACCTCAAGCTCCTGGACAGAGCTAGAGCACGAGGCTGCAGCTCCACACGTGTGCCTGCAGGGAGTCCCCGCGATTGTGAGCGCAGCTGCCCTGCAGCCCAGGCCGCAGGCCATCGAGGGCCGCTGCCACCCACAGCTGGAAGGGAAGCCAAGCCCGATGCAAAGTCTTGGTCTGAGCAGTGTGAGCTCTCACGAAGCCTTCACACTGATGATGCTTTGAAAGATGGCAGCTACACTGGCTCACGTAATTACATTGTTAAAAAGATCTACACCTGCTCTGTACATTAATGTAGCCCCTGGAGAGTGAGTCACACCCTGCGCAGGGTTTTCTGAGGCAGAGTCTAACGCACCCAGGATCACATCAAGCTCATGACCCCCCACCCTCATCTCCGAGCAGTCGGGACACAAGCGTGTGGGACACTGGGTGGCAGACTCCTGCACCCCTCCACTCCACGCCCCACGGACATGCTCCCAGTCATCTGGAGTCCCACGGTCGCCCATACTGCACTTCCTTGGAAATTTACCACCTAATCCCACTAGCGGCCCTCAGCAGCTCTGGAGTGCAGCAGGGCTTCACCTGCCACCTTCTCAATTAGCAGATCCTGGGGGCCTCCAACGGAAGTCACAGGCACCACTTCCTGTCTTCTCCCACCCCGGTAAGCTACCATGGCCTGTGGCACTGCTGGGAGGGGAGAGCCAGGGACACATTTTCCAGACCCAGCTGACCATGAAACTGATTTTTTATATTTCTATCAGCCATGTGAGGTGGTGCATGCTTGTAATCCCAGTACTCGGGAGGCTGAGACGGAAGGACTATCATGAGTTTGAGGCCAGCCTGGGCTACACGGTGAGTTCAAGGCCAGCCTGAACTATGTAGTGAGACCCTGCCTGAAAAACACAAACAGGAGCCGGGGATTTTAGCTTAGTGGTTCTGCTACCTGTCTTGCAAGGAAAAGGACCCCGAGGTTCAATCCCTGGTGCCAAAACCAAAACCAAAACAAAACACAAACAAACAGGGCTGGGGATTTAGCTCAGTGGTACACTGCCTGCCTCGCAAGCGCAGGTCCTGAGTTCAATACCTGTTACAAAAAAAACAAAAACAAACAAGTTTATCAAAACCTTCTGCTGTACATCTTGAATGTACAGCGGCACCTTGCTTCATGAACTTAATTCGTTTCACGATTCTGGAAAAGACGGCCACATTTATGTTTGTGTGGGAAAGGTGGCCAGTCATGTTGTCACCCAATGCAGTTTGCAAACAAAAACAAAATTCTGCCCAACACTTCTGTGTGAGAACCAAACTGTTCACAAACAAAAGCATCATGCACCGAGGTACCGCTGTACGTAATGTTCTCCAGGGAAACCTCCATGAAGCTGGAAAAGCTCTTCTGCTTCAGGAAGAGCAGGCGGCACCACAGTGGACGCCACTGATACACGGGGAGCTGCCCTGGCATCCCCCCAGTGCCCAGGTGCAGGGCCTCCAGCTGGGCCTCAGCCCCCTCCACGCCACCCCAGGACTCAGGCGACACGGGCTCACCGTGCTGTTGATGCTGGCGAGCAGCTTCCCGTTGAACTCCACCATGGAATACACGGCTCCTTTCACCTCCTTCTCAGCCACAGTCTGCAGCTTTCCTGGGAGAAAGATGTCCTTGAATCTCGCAGGCGAACCCACCCTCTCTAGTCGTAAGTCCAATGGTGGTCCCTTTGCCTCTATTTGCTGCCTTTAAAAACCCCTCCACTGGCATGTGCATACTCTTAGCACTCTGGAAGGCTGAGGCAGGAAGATGGCAAGCTTGAGCCCCCATGTCAAAATACAAAATAAAGAGCTGGGGCTGTAGCTCAGCCCAATCCCAGCAGGGCCCCACCCCACGGCAGGCCCCTGTGTGGTTCCTGCTCTCTCCCATGGGACCCAGCCTAGCCCATCTGAACCCCACCTGCAGATCCAACTGGAATCCAGGAAGAGCCCAGGCCCCACCCTGGCCAAGCCCCTAAGCGCTCTGGCTGGTAAGTCGGAAACCTCAGACTGAACTAGGGGAACACGGAGGAGCAAACACACATACGCACAGCCCAGTGGAAGCCAGAGGGGTCCTCACCTTGCCCAAATCAAGCTCAATCTCCCTGCGCCCTGATTCCCGCGCCGGACCCCCTGGGCAGCCTTGGCCTGAGGGGACTGCGACACAGTGGGCCCGGGCTCCCTGCTGCCCACTGAGCCGAGGCCCTGGCACTGCGCCCCGGGACATGGTGCCCTCTCACCGTCCGAGTACTGAAAGACCACGATGCGGCCCTGCTTGGGCTCCGCCTCCTCGGGGTACACCATGGCCGTGCCCACGATGAAGTATGTGTTGGGGTCCTTGCCCAGCTTGCAGGACACCAGGCTGAGGGCATACTCATTCTGCAGGAACTGGTGGGCGTGGAGCACTGGTGGGAGGGGAGCCGTGGATGGCACCGTGCACACACACGGGCCCTGAATGGAGCCCGCACGCCCACCGGCCGCCCCCACCGCTCAGGCCCCGCCTTCCTGCTCCTCCCAGGTGGGCATAGCCCTGCTCGGGGAGGACCAACCGACAAGGACAGGGCACCGCGCTGCACCTTCAAAGGTGTGCTGGTCGATGATGAGCAGGTTGTGCACCTCCACCTCCTCCCCAAAGGACGTCTCATGCGGGGCAGTGCTGCTGGAGAAGAGCTTGCTGGAGCTCACGCTGCTGGACAGGGCCTGTGGGGAGAGGGCAGGCGGCTGAGGACCAGGCAGCCCAAGCGGGCAAGGCTGGCCGCAAAGCAGTGGGGCCCAAGGGCTGCAGGGTGGACAGCAGCACCAGGAGGGGCTGGCTGCACATGGAACCAACACATGGGTCCAAAACCCAAGGTCCAACCCAGCTGGGCCAGAGGGGAACTTGGGGACCTAAGCAAGCGACAGACTCTTCCACCCTCAAAGGAAGGAACCTGTCACAGGCGTGCAGGAGCAACAGCAGAGACCACATGGCTGGGAACAGCCCACTTTCATCTCCAGGACGTGGGCCCTGCGCAGCTCCTGCCGTCCCATTTCTATCCTCATTCTCCCGGAGACGACTAAAGGCCAAGCTTGCCGGCCCAGGGACCTCAGAACCAGTCCAGGGGAGCCTGACTCCACGCCACTACGCAGCACCGCCTCCGTCACGGACCCCACGGAGCACACGGCTGCTCGCACCTGTTACAGTGTCGCTGGAACCGGCTCTGCCCGCAGCTGTCTTCCAGGCTACAGTGGCAGAGGGCAGCTGCGATTGCAAAGCCAGAAGTTCAATCTGGCCTACGCAGAAAGCTGCCCGCCCTCACCTGGGTGCTGGCACTGGGCCTTAGCGCGGTTGTGCCTCCACTTGTGTCCTGGACCTCAATGCGGCTGGACAGGACCCCGAAGCACTGGGACACTTCCTGGTAGCAGATCTTCCTGTGGGAAAGCACAGAGCAAAGTGCACTCAGAGGAGACCAGAGGCGCCCCTGGCGCTCCCTGCACCACCTGACCCACCCTCACCTGGGAGACTCGTAGAGGGGAACCGTGCGGATGTGCAGCTTCTGGATCTCGTCAATGGTGCCAATGGTGAGGGTGCTGTTGTTGGCCAGTGCCAGGCTGGAAAGAAGGGTCTGGGCTGAGACTGAGCAGGGCAGGAGTCCACGGCCACTCCACGGGGAGGAAGCGACACAGCTCCACACAGTTTGCTCCTGGCCACGTGCCACCCTACCATGCTAAAAGCCACTCTGGCAATCCTATGTCTGGTCCGGGTAGGCCTCGCTGGGGGTTTGACAGCTTTCCAGCTCATAGCCACCCTCCAGAGTAAGGTCACCCTGCTCTGGACTGGCCGTGGCGCTCCAGCTACTGTCACCAGGAGGGCCCTAGGGCCCAGCCTGGAGGGAATGCACCTCCTCACACATCCTGGCGGTGCTGGCTTCGGTGAGCCCTGCTCCAGGGCAGTCACTGGCGATCCGGAACCTGGATGACCACCGGAATCGCCCGAGAATTCCCTGGAGATAGACTCTGGAGCACACCTCAGACTGCCCAGATCAGAATTTTATTTTTTTAGTGCTGGGGATGGAACCCAACTCTAGACAAGTGCTCTCTACCTGAACTATACCCCCGGCTGTGAAAAGTCTGTTTTTTAGTAAATATAAACAAGGCCCTGGGTTTGATCCCAAGCACTGCTACAAACAAACTCTAGGCATTTCTAACAGCACCTCTGCCTTGTGCTGCCCAGTGTAGCTGCTCAGACTTGGGCGAGGGGAAGGGTCTGAGGAGAGCACACGACACCTCCCCAGCGTGCGGACAGACAGGCTCACCTGTCGGGATAGCCGTCGGAGTTGAGGGGACACATGTAGTTCACTTCCTTGAGGTTAACGTTGGAGAAGACCAGCTTGTGGTTGCTGCTATAGATGACGGTCGGGCGGTCCGAGCAAGCAAAGACATTGGTGGTGGACAGAGATCGGAAAGTCCTCAACACCGTGGGTTGGGTGCCGAGTGTCACCTTCTTCCGGTCGCTCAACAATCCTGCAGGAGGAATGGCATCAGGGAACAGGAAGAGAGAAAACAGTCGTGGCCACCAGGCTGCAGGCTGCAGGCTGCAGCGGCCCCGCCCATGGCCCTCACCGGTCTCGATGTTGAGCCCGAAGTAGAACAGGGCCCCGTCGCCCAAGGCACAGAGGAGATAGTGGCTGCTCTCAAAAGTGGTCATCAGGATGGAGCGCGGAATGATCTCTGCGGGAAGAGGCCTGGTGAGCGCCCTTGCCACACTCTGCTGACCCCCCATGCCTGGGACACACACCTCCACCCAGCATCTCCTTGTGCAGGAGCTCGAAGGACGGGAGCTGCAAGATCCGGGCCGAGATGTCTGTCCACAGGCCGATGGCACACAGAGGGGACAGCCCGCTGCTGTCCCCCAGTGGGGTGATGTCCAAGCAGGCCACTTCATGTTCCATCTCTGTGTGGCTGAGCAGAGAGCGACATGGCAGCAGGGGGAAGCCAAACGCCTAGGAGGCCCCGGGCTCAGGGGAGGAGGCGCCGGAGAGACACCAACCTGATCTGCCGCAGCTCCCGCGGGTGGATCTGCAGGTAGAACAGCGCCCTGCCCACGGCCACCACCACCTGGCTGCTGTTGCAGGAGGCCACGCTGATGTTCTTTCCCTGTGGCTCCTTCCACTCACTGACCAGCGCCTTGGGCTCTTGGGAGACCAAGCGCACAGATGCGGACGTGATCTGAGGGAAGAGAGCAGAGGGCTCTGGCACCTGCAGGGACCTCGCTGGAAGCAGCAGGGCCCTGCGTGGCTCACGTCCTGTAGCCATCGCGGTCCAGCCCCTCAACCCCACAGACAGTGGGGTACGTGCACACAGTCCTCCTGCTGGCCACCACCTCTAGACCGCCCACAACACCTGCACGGTGAAGCAGGTGAGCCGGTGCTGCACTGCGTGGCTCGGGACAGTGACAAGGAAAAGTCTGTGCATTGGGCACAAACACAACTTCCTCCCAAGTATTTCGATACCCGGCCGGCTGAATGCAGGGATGCAGAGCAGGCGACGTCATCTGTGAGGAAGCTGCTCGTATACCTGGGCTGAACCCACAACCAGCAGCCTGTTTGTCTCCAGCCCAAAATCAGACCTCAAAAATATCCAAGCTCTTTACCCCTGCCGGAGCTATTGGAATTGTTTAGCTTCCTAGTATCAGTTTCCAAAGCTACACCACAGCCTCATGTACACTGAACACGTGTTCTACCTTGGCGCTAACCCGGACAACAGGGTCAGCTCCAATCCCTGGGCGGGCCCTGCACGCCTCTCAGCTCCCCAGGACACCCAACCGCACCCACTGAAGGTGCCTTCCAGCTGCACCTACCCACCCTGCCGGCCTGCCGAGACCATGTGGGCTGGGACCGGACAGTTTGTCCACAGCCAGGCATCTGAGTGCCCTCCTCACCACGGGCAAGGCTGGCCCCAGCCGAGCAGGATGGCCTCGAGGGAAGGGGTGGCGGGGATGGCAGGGCCCCCAACGCCAGACCGACGGCTCTGCTCAGATGCCAGAGACTTCAGTGCAGGACCTGCGCAGACCAAGGGCTCTGCCTGTAGTTACACGTGGACGGAGCTGCCAAAGTCATTCCAGTGGCAGCATTAAGTCCGATTATTTTCTGAGCCCTCTGTGCTTTTTGGTATTTTCCAAGTTTTTACAAATACACATGTCTGCGGCAGTGTTACAATAAAGGCAAAAGCTCTCAGATGAAATAATTAGTGTGAAAACAGAACCCCCCAAAAACTTTTTTGAGGTTGGGTATCACTACATAGTACAGGCTGGGCTTGAAATAAACTGCATAGCCCAAGCTGACTGCCAACTCATGGAGATCCTCCTGCCTCAGCCTCCCAAGTGCTAGGATTAGAGGTACGTGCCACCACAGCCAGCCAATATATTTACACATACACACATATGTGCATGTATGTATGTACCAAAAGGAAATGTAAATAAACACAATATTCAAACATTTGCAAAGAAAAGTAAAACCAAAAAGGAGCAAGTCCAAAGTCAAGACTTACTTCCCTGTACACAGGCAACTTTCCCCTACAATTTCTACTTCATTTTCAGAGCCCTAAAATCTGCCTGTCTCAAGCCCAGTGCTGCAGGCGGCACTCAGCTCCTTGGTGCCCCGCATCACCTGGATGAGCTGCTGGTGCGCCACGTTGCCGCAGAAGAACGTCTGCTGGTCATCCACGAAGCCCACGAGCTCGGTCTCCTCCACCTCCTCCCCGTTCAGCATGAGAACCCTGCGGGATGGTGTCTCAGCCTGGGCGCAGCGCCCCACGCAGCCCTCTCCCGCACTGCAGCCACCCGAGCCCTACCTGGTCTGGCCCACAAAAGAGAGCACCAGGGTGTCATCCGTCTCGCGGCTGGGGTCAGATCGCAGCGGCCACAGGCCTAGAGCAAGGGCAAGGATCACGGGCTGGCATGGCCCAGTGCTCAGCAGGCACAGCAGGGAGGCCAGCCCTGGCAAAGGGTTCCGCATGGGGCTTCAAGCCCCCAGCTCAGGTCCCCTCACCCTCTCCCGGCTTCAAGTATCTGGACAGGTGTGCAATTTTAAAACCATGTCGAGCCTGGCACTACACGTTTTCCAACTCATCTCTTCAAGTAGTGACCAGTGATAGTTTGTTTATCCTTCTAATTTTTTTTTAAGGAAACAATACTGTCTTACAAGGAAATGCAGAAATGGGCATGGTAGCATAGGTGGTAATGCCAGCACTCAGGAAGATGAGGCCGGAGGATCACGGATTCGAGGCCAGCCTGAGCTACTCAAAAAAATCTACACGGTAAAATTTTTAGGGTTTTTTTTTTTTTTTTTTTTTTT